GCTACGTATGGAACCCAACTAAAGTGCGTATGCTCCTCAAGTAGCCTGCCTCTAGCTAACGTCCATCCCCAGCGAACGCACGGGTCTCCTACATGCTATATCTTCCCCACTCCTCGGCAACAAACTGGCGCTGGATCTGCATCCCACTTGATGATACCCAACGTCTCGCTCATTCCCTACGGATCCAGCCGCGAGCCTGGTCTTATTATGGTATCTTCCACAGGAGAGATCCGTCTGTGGGAGAGCATTAATGCTGGTCTCGCTGGCGCCGAACAATTCTATTCAAACTCTGTGCCGCTCTCTTCGAGCGAGCATGTTTCGACTATGTATAGAAGCGAGGTGAGTAGCTTCACGAGTAGCACCTTTTTTTTGATGATATACCTATCCTCTTCCAGGCTGCATTCTATATCTTGGGTACAACTTCTGGTCGGCTGCTTCGTATGGCCTTGTCTTCGCCCGGCGGGAAGCCACACATCGCAGTAGCCCCATTCTCTCAACAACAAGGGCTGTTTTCGTTCTCTCGCTTCTTCGGAAGGGCTGTCGGGGGGTTGAATGGTGGCTCAGTTGTCGCCATTGCAGAGACCGTTTCCGAAAACCGCCAAGCGCGCAGCAAAAACATATGGGGGCTAACGGAGAGGACACTCCAGAAATGGACAATTGGAGATGGCTGGGAACAGGTACGTACTCGCATTCACACTGGAGAGTCAAGAACATTGTTAACAGCACAACAGCTGTCGGTTGAGTACGACATTCGTACACCTCTGGACAACGAAATTATACCAGATGATCAAGAAAGCTCTGAGCATCCCGAGTTGGATATCGAGCTTCATGATCTCAAAATGCAGAGGTGTGTCTTGCCTCCTACATGTCATTTGAGCGGGTAGCTAATTGGTATATAGTAACGACCAGGCATTTGTGCTCTTTTCTTATATTTCGCCACCCGAGCTCGCAGCAACCAACGCCACCCCCAGCCGTACTTATGCGATTGCTTCGTTCGCTCCGTCTGGCGATAGCCTGGTCTCTGGACCCGCTGAAAAGGTTCCATATGAAGGAGTCAGTGTTTTGACTATTTTTCAACTCACTCGCTGAACGCGAGGATCCGTAGGCTCGAGACCCGCGCCCAGCATCAAACCCCAAATTGGCTCTAATCGACAATGGAAATGTGGCGTTTGTCGAGTTTGTGGACGCGTTGACTCTCCAATCCTTGAACACTGGTGCGCTGACCGATCATATCATACTTGCCTTTCAACTGACACATATTGGGTATGCAGGTTCGACATTCAAAACACATTTGCTTTTCAAGGAGCGCAGATGGAATCGAACACTCGGCTTTGGGATTATGGACAAGCAAATATCGAATCCCACCACATCTGAGCTGATACTGATGACTGCTACTGCCGGCCAGTTGGCCGTGCAGCTGGACCTCACGAAGATCAAACGCGTGGACGGCCCGTATGTTCTTTTCATGCAGTGTTTACCTCTCATCTTATGATACGTTTTGCAGGACAAAGGCTAATCAGCTGAGGGCGGTAATGGAGCAGGCCATACGTTTCGGACAAGACGTATGTATCCTGCGTTCGCCCAAAGTCATTGGCTCATTTCTACCAACAGAATCCATTTATATTCCGACTGGATCCTGAGCTAAAAGAAGCAGACCTCGGTGGGGCAGCCGTTGGACTAAGCCGTGATATCTTGGCTTCCCGTAGGTGCTGTGAGTGTCGATGTAGAGCCCGAATAACATGCTTCTTTTTAGAGTTTAGCGAGTCCCGACACGCTATGGATCTCAGTGCACATATTGAGCAACGGCTCAAGCAGCTTCAGGCCCTTATGGTTTTCCTTAACGAGGATAGAGTCACCTTGCACGTATGTGACTATTTTTGCTAGTTTTGTGCCACTTGACCAACTAGCTATTCCTTAGATGTCTGACTTTAGCAGGCAATCTCTTGCCGCTGACGCCGAAAAGCTATGCGCCGCCAGCACCCTTTGGCAATACGAAAAGTTCGTCCGACATTCAACTAAACCTGACTCCGGTTATATTTAATAAACACACAGTGAAAACTCGGGTCAGCACCACAAATCCATACTTGGTGAGGCGATTGATCGGTACATGGCCGAGACTCGCACGCCCTTTGAGGAAGGACCGGTTCGGGCGTTTTTCAAGTATCATGTGCGTATGTCTGTTTTTGGTTGTCGCGCGTATACTCACCATGCCCCTAGCTCGAAGCGCTCGGGTTGATCGTACGAAATGCTGATGAAATTGTGGACGAAACGTATCAAAGTGGCGGGCCAAACCAAGTAGACTTTTTGCGTGCAGCGAACCAAATTGTGCTGGTAAGTAGAAGTTCTACTCGTTCATTCAATTGTTGACTTTATGCTTTTTGAACAGTTGATATACGGTACGGTCGAGACGTTCCGGCAACGCAACCTCGGTTTCTACGGCCTCGAGACCACACAGCCGAGCATGATCCCGTGGACAAGCGAGCCGGACGTCCTCGAATCAATACAAGACTTGTTTACACATACTGGTCGTATGTTGGGCGATCGTACAAGGGACTTGGGCAATGCTCTCAAGACGGTTCCCGCCGAGCGGGCGATTCAGAACGAGCTTAAAGGCCAATTGCAGATGTTGGCCAAATACCTGTTCGCTGGATACCAAGAGCGACTGCTATATTTGCAGAGGTAAGTGCGCGTATCTTGTTATAGTTAACCGTGGACTAACAGCTGGCAAGGCACAGCGCGACGGCTGAAGACAAGAAGGAAGCTACAGCTCTGGATCAACAATTCGCGAACTATAGGCCGTCTATGTTACGAAATCTTGGTAAGAGCTATACATCCAAGCCGAATTTAGGTTAACTGAACTATGTATAGCAATTTATGACCAAGGAGAAGAAGCGTTCCGCCTCGCGGAACAGTACCGAGACTTCCGTAGCTTGGCGGAGTTATGCAATGACAGTAGACTAGCTAGCGACTTGAGAACTCAGAATTATTTGGAGCTGTATCAACAGGATTTCGCTAGTGAACTTTATCAGTGGTACGTCGAGCATGGTAGGTCTACTATACTTGTCTTCAGCGCCATAGAACCAACTTTTGGGCAGGAAAATTGCAAACCCTGCTGCTCCAGGACCAAATCTATTACCCACTCCTACAAGGATTCCTCAAGAGCACCGATTATCCGCGTATTTCATGGCTTCATGACGTTGCAATTGGCGACTTCCATAGTGCAACCACTACGCTCTCTGAAGAAATGAATAGTGAAACAAAGGTCGACGCTCTAAAGGTATTGAAATCCAACAGCTATTTTAGCGTCCCAGCTAACAAAGTTCATTCATAGCTACTGGTTAGCTTGGCTAAGCTCTCGACGGTAGCAGAAACCGATCTTGAGGAGTATAATTCCCAGCACGTCCAGGGAGAACTCCAAAGTATGTAAATCAATAAGGGGGACCACTAGCCTATGATCTAACAACGTGGGCGGTTTCAGCATACGATGACCATTTAGATGTGGTAGAGGTTCAAGACGAGATGCGAGCGGAATTTGAGCAAATAGTCGAAGAATCTGGCGTTCGTGGTCGCCCTTCGATCGATGCGCAAGCCGATATCCTCGCCCGACATCTAGTCCCCGAATCGGTGGAAGAAGCAAGTGTAGCAGTAAGTTGCTCGTTCTCCCTGCATGCAACACTCAAACTTACCAGCTTATGTAGCTCTTCAAGCGATTGGCGAAGCAGCTTCTACAGAGAAACGTGCTCTCAACTTACGATATTGTGGATGTGTTGACTCTGCGCGTCAGTAAGCCCAACTACGCCTCCCTGACGGACGCCGCCTCGGTTCTTGACCGGATGCCGGTAAGTTTATCCTGCTCACCTCTTGAAAATCTTGCCTAATTCGTGATTCAGGATGAAAGCGCGTTGAGAACTTTGTGGAGAAGAGCATGGATTGTGGATGAGTAAATTGGTTCAGCCTCGCACACACACACATTTACTAACGTAAAGCTTGTAGTTGGGTGCAAATTCGTGATCCAACTTCCCAGACTGACGAGCAAATCTGGCGTAACATCCAGCAAACTGCAGTATGGCGGTTGCTGGAGCATATCACAGAAGAACACTCCGAAAAACTTCTCATGCCACCCTCCCAAGCCTCCATCGTACCGACACACACAGATCTAGGAAATCGCTTCCCCGATCTCCCTGCTCATTCGATAGAGCTACTAATGAGCGACCTAGAGCTAGAACATATTGCGCTCCGTCGACTCTTGGAAGTTGGTGACGTCGATGAGTGGTACACGGAGGCTGTCAGGCGTGTGACCAAAATATGATTCCTATTGCTATTACTTTATCTTCATGTACTATTTTAACCAATACGATCGAAAAGCTAGCCAGATACCGCGAGCTTGTTCTGCATAATACCGCATAGTGTACGCACGGAATCTCGAATCCTCAGCTGCGAGCCACGTTCGGTAGAACGCAGCCAATTCAGCCTCAAGCGCAGCATCTCTTGCTGTTGCTTCCTCCGGTGATTTCGCTGGCGGGTAGGAATCGAGAATCTTTTGGCGGCCAACATTGAATCTAGTATTGACCTAAGGCATTTACTCTATTCAGAAGGCTTTATCTCCGGGACACTAGAAAACCTACATCAGTCCAAAATGAATGATTCAAGGTTTCTAGATGGCGCTCATGAAGGGCAACGGCTGAATATCCCAAAATCTCGCTACGCGAGAATTCTGAAAGCGAATAGGGATGTGCGGTCTGTATCCCGTCCGTCGACACAGACCCACGCAGTACAGGTCGGATATTGGAAACTGGATCAGGAGGGCCAACCAGGATAGAGCTTCCAGTTTTGGTTGAGTTGACCGAAGCACGAGTTCGGAGCGAACGGATTAGACGAGACTTTTGTGCGGTCGCAAGTCGCATTTGAGGATCAGCAGTTTCGTTTGGAGTTGCAGTTTGTTACTATAGAGGAAGGGCAGTTTGAGCGATCCAGTTGAATTTCACATGTTGTGTACATCAGGAGCGATGGTGTAGTTGGTTATCACGTCTGTCTAACATCTGAGAATGTTCACAGACGGTCCTCAGTTCGAACCTGGGTCGCTTCAGTTTTGCACTCGATGACAAGCCCGATTAGTGCCTGCAAGCCAACATCCCACCACAAATCTCTTTTTGATACTACGATTCTTCAACACTATTCATGATCTATGTACCGCTTACAGTAGGTTCTCTATATCAATTCTCCTCTGCAGTTTGAAAATTACCATAATAGTCACGCTTGGTCGAATCCTGCGCAGGCTTTGGCGGAGATTTGGCTGCACTCGGTTTCGGCTTGGGTCGGTGCGTTGAAACAGCGCCTATCGGAAGGGTATACCTAGTTGCCGCTTAAGAATGCGTACAATCAGATAGATTATGTATCATTTCCTACGAACCTTTCTTCGTCACACCCGTATGCCTTGGGAGTCAGCTTGATCACTGTATGTAGAGGAATGTTGATGTAAGGAAGCTCCTCTTGTGAAAGATTTCGAAAGTACGCATATCTGCATAAACGTGGTTCATGTACAAAGACGCCAAGGGTAAGCAGCCTGCTTACAAGCAACGGATGATGGCTTGGTGTCCAATCACTAGAACATTGTCTTGCCTCTCAAGCTCCATTATAACGGGTTCCAACCGCACTACCACATCACGGTAGGACTCTCCGCCTTAGAGTTCGCGATAAATGTATGTCTACATATGAGCTAAGAAACCACACACCTCGATAACGGTAGTTGAATTTATCGTCATCTCGCGCCTCAAAGTCCTCTGGGTATTCAGCCTAAGAGACTAAATTAACTTCAAACCGAGACAATAGAGTAATCACGCACTTCGATTTCTTCGTATGTCATGCCATCGCAGACTCCAGCATCAAGTTCATCCAGGGACTTCCATGTTAATTTCGGATAGGGAAGCTGGGCTGCGGTTTCAATAGTTCGTTGAAGAGTTGAAGTCCAAACCTGTTGCATCAGATCAGCATTATAACCTATGTATGCGTATGGGCCTAGAGAGGCATACCGTGAGTTCCGCCTCCTTAATGTTGTCTTTAACTAAGCCGGGCAAAGCCGATGCATACTGTCTGCCTCTTTCGGAGAGAGGCGCATCTCCGCCTATCTTTCCCTCGACATTGAACTGGCTCTCACCGTGCTACGCAATAAGGTCGTTATTGGAATCTGAGTAAGGTAGGAGCTTTTAACTTACTCGTGACATGAATATGCTCCGTGGTTTGAGATGCAGATTCATAAGGTAGAAGGCAATACGAGATTGCACGTATCCATGTATCCTGTTCATCTGAACCTGATTCCCTACGTTGATGATTTTGACATAGCTTAGGTGAGGCTCTGTAACCGACTGGTACACCGATTCATATTGCTTGATTCGATTCCTGAAGTCACGCTCCGCGTCCTCCCTAGACATGTGCGCGTAATCGGGATCGCCAGCAGATACTTTGAGAGCAACATTCGCCGCGATTACCTCTGGGTCGTCACAATAGCTCTCGAGGAAAAGAGCAACTAGCCCAGGCTCCTTTGCAACGCGCTCTGCGATCTTCTCCCTTCAAGCAAAAAATGTCAGATAGGATACAAGCATTAGCAACGATCTAACCTTCGTGCCTCGGTACTGTTCGTTGCATCTGTAGAACTAACTCAGTCACGTTTATGACGTAGGGCAAATAACCTACCATGTATAGCGACATTTCCGCCTTTCTTTAACCAAGATATCAAGCTTTCAAGACACTCTTCTGCGAGAGCTTCCCGCAGTTGCGATGCCTTGCTATCTGAGTGGCTAAAATACGAAGCGGTATGATCTTCCGCTATCCCACTCCTAACACATAAATGAACACAAACCAGAATCTTGATATTATACTAAGACTCACTTTTCCTTTTTAGCTCGGGCTTTACTCCTTCTTAGCTGCCCGACGTTAAACACCTATCATATAATTAGAATGAGGCTCTTAATCGGCATGAACACTGTCCCGAGTATACCTCGACAGAATACTCTAACCACTGATGGATAAGCTTTGTCAGATCCAATACAAGACATTATGTTGTATACTGACCCTCAGATATCGAGTAAGCTTATTGCTTAAATATGATTTCCCTCGGGCGGGGAGCCCAACCATCGCAACCACGATCTTCAGTTCGGAGTAATCCGGTTTAGAAACTGTTGGTATTTTTAGAGCCTGACAGAAACATATTCGTCCAGCGGCTGACCTTTCCCACCGATCCCCACCACTGGTGGAGGAGCGAGATCCGTGGGGGGAGATGAAGGCCTTGAGGGTCGCCTACTACCGACCCGCGACTTGTCAAACTCCTTGAGGCTACGAAGATTGGCTTGAATGAACTATTCTAGTTGCGACGCTAGTGAGAGATATCTTACATGGCACCACCAGCGCCAAAGAAGGTTTGTGTCCCATCTGGGCGTTCGTCAGCTACTTGCTTTGGACTGAGAAGCAGTTGAGCGGCATCAGGGTTGTTAGGTTTGACTGGCGTCGGTATTTTCTCCTGTTTCTCCTCGACGGGGGTACCTTCTGCGACTTCTATAGATATCTGGGCTGCCGGTGGGTGCGTATGCGAAGTCGGCACGTACGCCATCGTGGTTGTAGTAGCTTAATCCAAGGCGGGTCAAAGGCCCATAATCCCAAGCCAATCAAATCATGCACCCCGATCAGGTCCGGTTTTGATTTGGAAATGAGGAGCTGGGGCAACAATAGCGGTTTCCCTCACATATTCTGTTGGCCCCTCACAGAGAAAACGTCAACCTTGCCAGTTATCCACCCTAATATTAGTCTACTCCTCGACGTATTCACCGAGAAATCATCTACGCGGCGCATACACCATCAACAACGTCAACACTTCAGATGGTTTGATCGTTTCGTTCCCTGCAAACTGGTGAGCAAAGAGAGAGCAACTACCAATAGTAGCAATCAAACAAAACTGTTTCTTATGCCGAACCAATCGCTCGACGCTGTGTAGACCTTAGAGCGATTTGAAACTCTAAAAGGATATCGAACGAAAAGGAGTTAGAAGAGGTTGGAAATTAGATACTATGCAGTGGGTGTCATTTACATTAGGGTTGAGCAGAACAAACAATGAATCGTCTCTGAAGTGGTCCCAGCTGGGCAGTCGGGAAATGTTTGCGAGAGTTTGCATCTCGTTCTGGTGGTCATTGCAGGCGACTAGTACCAATCCATCTGCGTCGCTGTAGAACAGGAAAACAACTCATCAAAGCTGAATATATTCCTTTACGCAATCGTCTGCTGGCTAGGGAGATACTCGCTTGTAGAACTCATCCCCCGTAGTACAAATATGACTACAAGATTATATTGCTGAACAGTATAACCAAAGGAAGGTGGGTGATTATAAGGCAACGATAAAGGAGTGACTATAATGGATGTTAAGTAATGCCGATAAGGGGTACAAGTGCGAGTGGTGGGGCCAACAATGTAGCGAAGTAAAAGGGATACAGAGCTAGTCTACTATCAAAGTAGTTTTGAAAAACGCAAGGCCATGTCAAACAAAGTACGAGTCGCGCATTTGACCTAGTATGATCTAGACGGTGTGGCGATGAATAACCGAGACACATGGTGGCTGGCACGAGCATTTACCTTGTCACGAACGTAAGCGATCACGGTATGAGTTGTTTCGATGTCCTGAAAGCACCGGGGGCGTCAGCCGGAACACGCAAATTCACCAGTGACGAAGATCTTACGACTACGGAAGTATGATGGATATAGCACGGTGTGTTTTGGGGGGCTGTGGAGTCCTTCCTCATCGCAGCAAAACGCTTGCTGAGATCTGCACCAGCAAGGACAATCTTCGGTGTGAATCCGATGTACAGCGAAATGGGAGAAAACGCCACTTACAATTCAAGGCCTTTTTGGTCTCGTTCGGCTTGCCCTCATAACTCGTCAGATATTCTGCCAAGCGTATCCCAGCCTTGAGTTTCTTGTCCAGCAAATCGCATTTGTTGAGGAACAATAGAGTGGGGATCTGCACCAGTCATACGTTAATTCAGTTCCTAGCCACGCGGGTGACAGCAAAGATGGACAGACGTGATGGAGGGCTTTCGTTTGACAGAGTTCGTCCCACAGTTCAAACGAGTCCCGCAGCCGGTTAATCTCCTTGTCCTCCGCAAGCACCTGATCAAATGCCGAAACCGGAACCAGTACGATGATCAAGTCCACTAAAGTAAAATTAAGATGCGACCATCGATCGGAAACAAGGCTGTATGCGTACTATCGTCGAAAAAGGGTGCCCATTTAGCGCGTTGGCGACGTGCCCCACCCACATCATCTGGCCATCATTACCATCAGTCCGCGTATGATTGATTGTAAGGGATTGGAAGCGAAACTTACACAATCGCCATTCTAGTCCTGGCTCTAAGTTGGGTAGAACCGTTTCGGTTGGGGCAATCGTTTTGACACGAGTGCGGAGAATGTCGTCTGGTTAATGAAAAAAAAGTCGTGAGATTCCGTGGGATTTCCCTCCAAGTCCGCCAAAAAAGACTCGCCATCGGTCGGGACATAGCCTTTGGCAGTGATCCGTTCGATGTCGTTGAGAAAACTGCGAGTATCAGTCTAAATTGAAATATGACTGAGAAAGCGAACCTTACTCACAATCCGGATTGCTCCTCCATGAAGAGACCCTGCTCCTTCAGATACTGTTGTATCACTGGACAACCCCATATCTGCCTCATATCTGCTGCACATGCCTGCAGGGTCACGGCAGGAGCATCGTCGTCATCGGGTAACATTTCGCTGCGCTGTGAAGTGCTCGCCCTCCCGGGGACTGCATTGGTTGTGCGCATACACCTGTACAACACTCGGTGCCAGCGTGATTCAGGGTGTGCATACACATCCTCATATTCTTCCATCTCCGGGGTATTGCTTCTGGATGCGGGGCTATGGCTAGACCTGCTGTTACGCACGGAGATTAAGTTTTGAGTCCGAGTCCGAGCTAGCTCGCCAGGAGATGAGAGAGATTCGACAATCGACGCCTCGACGCTGCGGAGAGGCTAGAACAATGTGAGGGTTAAGCCGGAATACAAATTCCGAATCCAAGGAACGGACCGTGAG